CTGGTATTAAGGCACAGTAAACTAATTAACTATGCTGTAGGACAGTAGTAGGAGTAAACTAGTTAACTTCATGGGGGGCAGTACCATCCAATGGCAGACTATTTACCTGCACTGAAACACACATGTAGACAGTGACTGGGCAGGGGCCAGATTTCATATGTTTGGCACCTTCCTGCCCCAGCCAGCCTCTCTGCCACCCAATGCCTCCACCCCAAGCTCAGAACTGACCCCCCAAGACTGCTGCCAGGCCAGGCACGTGCTGCCTTGTCTCAAAGTGCTACTCTCCTAGGCTCACATACAGATGCTGCATACAGGAGCAGTTCACTCCACTTCAAAGTGCACTGGAGTTTAATGTGCTGCTTTCATTATACATATAGGTGCACCCACTGGTACTGCAAAATTGAGTTAGAATAGCATAACTGGCCTACAGATGTTAAGAGTATGTCCGCACTCCCTCTAAACCAGAGGTGAATAATCTGCAGCACAGATGTCACAAGTGGTACAGACAGCCTTCATTTGTGACATAGGGAAGATTTGGGAAGGGACAGGCAGAACAGGAGGAGATAGAGCAGGAAGCAGAAAGCAAAACAACAAATTGGGCAGAGAGCAGAAAGCAGAGCAGTAGATCAGGTAGGGGAAACAGATCAAAGTGTCACTCAGGGAGGATGCAGGATTAATTCGTGGCACACCTACCGAAAAAGTTCACCCCTGCTGTTTTTGATTATTCAGAGAAGTGCTGCAGCCATGTGCAACCCTACCTATCCCCAGCTCTGTCACTGACTTGCTGTGTAATTTTGGAAACATTTTACTTCTCTTTGTGCCCCTTTTACCACCTCTGCCTCTCTCTGCTTTATCTATTTATATTATAGACACTTTGGGCGGACCTTGATTTTGTCCTTTATTTTAATAATTACTGTATATATTTTTTCTTGTAATTTCTTTTCCTATCTATTATTGGTATTTGCTGACAAGTTTGTCCAAATACTCTGTGGTTTAAAATGCTATTTAAAATATAAGTATGACAATACAAATATCAAGAAATGGAGTTAACTTTTGAAAATATTTCATGCCAAGCTATAAATACTGTTTAAGTAAATATGTGGTAGGAAAATCTACTGGAGAAGCAAAGGTTCTACAATGAAGAAGAATAATAAACAACGGTTTGAAGAATAATGCTATTTTTCCTTCCTTCTAATAAAATCCCTTGTTCAGTTTTAAGAATCTGATTCCTCTTCATTATCATGTGACACATGCTGAATTTCCTTAGGAATAAAAACATGTTTATTAAACAGAAAACTTTAATATTACAATTTTGTATTGAAGCTAAATCCTGATATGTATTATCTGACAAATACTACAGAACTTGTTATGATAATTAAAACTGTTTATTTTATGGGAGATCTTGTTTACAAAGCAAAATAATCCTGCACAAATTTCTTTTATAGCTTTATCTTGATTGTTTTCAGTATTCATGTTCCTCATTGTAAGAAAAATAAATGTGTAACATAGCTTAGTTAGTTGAAAATGTTTGGGGATATCACATATATTTTAGATATCACATATATGTGGATGTTCAGTTTGCAAGGAGAGTTGATTTGTGAGGTGATTGACAGTGAATAATAAGAGGGGTTTTGTGATTAAAATGATTTGAGTAAACAGTTTGCTGCAATCCAATGAAATTATTATTTTATTGGTTATTCCTGATTGTACTCACTAGATTGCTTCTAGAAGTTCTCTTTATTTTCTCACATGATATGAATAAATCATGGGAGTCCTGAATAAGAATTTCAATTTCAAATTGACTGGCTTTTGTAAAATAAAGTCTATACTAGTAACTATGTACATGATGATATATGATAACAAAAACCTTTCCTATCACTTTACTACTGGAAAAGTAAAATAACAACTGGCTAAATCTAGTGAGAAAAGTATGTAGAAGCAGATTCTAGATTTCCTAAAACACTCTCTATGATATTTCTAAGAACTATTTTCGTTATGTAAGAATAACTATTCAAAAATATACTAGTCTTTTTATTATTATTATTATTACGTATTTTTGATGCCTATTTCATCTTTTTTTTCTTGTAGAAGTGCACTATAAAAGATAGCTGTAAAATTAGCTCAGTGAATACTCTAACAGTACTTTTTGTCACTATGGTTGGCTATAAAACAGCTCTGACTGTTTCTATCTCTCTTCATAAAGGTGACTGGTACAAAATAAAACAAAATGTATTTTAGTCTTTATTTAGCCTAGTATTGTAGCATATCTGGAGGCAATGGATCATAACATTATTGGTATGATAGAATTCATGAAAACATGGTTTAAAACCTTGGCACTGTTTTATCCACTTTTTATCATTTCAAGTAGTGTAATTCAGTATTTCTCAACCCATGGGTCACAACCCAAAAGTGAATCAGAAGAATATATGAAAGGGTTGCAAGCAAACTTTAAAAAATGGATCAACAAACTTTAAAAATGGATTTTCTTTTAAAGGAGAAAAATGTGGAAAACCTCATTCCCTGCAGAGTTCCAGCCTGAAAGGGGATGCTTGGGGTTGGGGGAAGTGGGGGGAGGGTGATTAGGTAGAGGGTGCTATGTGCATGGTTATGCACACACCTGAACCTGGCAGCCAGACAATGTGGGGAACAGCTTCTGCAGCTCCCAACAGGTAAATCTATGGGGCAGAGGGAGGAGGGGGAGCATAGAAGCTGTATCAGGGGGATGGGAGACATGGCACAACCCCACCTCCTCTCCAGGGTAGAGACATGGTGGTGACAGGCGGGCCATAGCAGTGGGGTAGAGCTGTGGCCCAGTATATGAGTGGCAGGAGAAGGTGAGGGCAGTGTGCCCTTCACCCCACCATCCATTATTCCTTGCGCTGCTGGCTGCATGTCTGGTGTGGGGGTTCTGGCAGCAGTAGCAACAATGAGTCTCACTGCCCCACTCTTCCCTCCTGTGCCAAGTCTTTGCCACTGGGCCATGGAGGCAGCTCCTGCCTCTGCTGGTCCAGCCAGACCACAGCCCCATGCCCACTGTGGGTGTACAAATATGGGAGGGCACATGCCCCCCACCCACACCTCACACACTCAGCCTCTGCCTCACACACTGAGTGGCTGGGGCCTGAAGGCAGGAGGCTATAGGTCAGGAATGAGAGCAGGGCTGGGTGTTGGGGGCTGTGGTTTTGGAGTGAAGGGCACTGGCATGGCTGTTTTCTATTTAAATTATTTACTAGGTCAGGACTGGCCAATGTTTAGAAATGGGTCCTGGTACAAAAAGGTTTGAGAACCATTTGTTTAACTGACTGTGTAGTTTGCTCTATGGAAGACAAAATCTAAAGAGGTGTTATGTTTTAGTTCATCCCATTAAGTTTTAAACTTTGTAGTCTAAGGGTGAGATTATGTCTAGAGAAGAAGTTACATGTAAACCAATTTAAGTGATGAGAAAGTGGTTTAAACCTGTAACAGAACATAAGTTCTGGGCACATAAACCAGTTTCAAAATGGCCAAAACTGGTTTAGATAAACATGGTTGAATGTAGTATCAGACTTCACTAATTTGGGTCAAACGGGTTTATGGAACTTTTGTCCTAGACCTCTTCCTGGTTTAAGTTTAATCCAACTCTATCAGCATCCCAGCATGCTTTTCTGCCCTGGGCTGGGCTGTCTGCTCCAGAGAGCAGGACTGGCTCCACCCGTCTCCTCCCTAGCTTGAGCACTATCACTGCTTCAACTGGCTGTGAAGGAGGTGGAGACTGCAGGCAAAGCAGCATCTGCCTGGCTTCCCCATGCCCCACCCCAACCTTGCTTCTCATTGTTCACTTGCTGCTCACTGCTCCCCCCACCCCCCTGCTCCCACAGTACAGATCCCTTTCACATGGACCCTAGCCAGCATGTGGTCATGGTCATGCCACCCCCATGCTAGCTAATGCTGAGAGGTGTCTGTATGTGTGTGTCTCCAATTTCACTGAGACAAAGCCAGACAGAACAGTATCTACTTAGGGCTTTTTTGGAGCTAATCAACAGGTCAGCTGGTAATAGTCCCTCTATTCCTTCTTTGGAAAAAGCTGTTTAAGAAGATCTTGGACTAATGAGAGAGGTTTTTTTTTTCTTGATGGGCTGATAAACTTTGTGTTATCTCTATCAGCTCCCTGCTGGCTTGTTTGAAGTTTGCTGCAGGCAGTATGAAGAAGCAGGGAGATGGAGATTGAAAAGCTCAGTAGCATCAACAGATGCATGCATTCCACACAAGTAGTCCTCCTCCCTCCCCCTTTGCCTTAGAGCGCTAGCTGGGGGGCAGGGTCTGGCACACTCCTGCCTCTTGGGCAGTGAGCTGGGAAAAACGTGGTGAGAGCTGCTTCTCTCTCCCCCTCCAGGCACACCCCAGCTGGGAACTGTGAAGGCAGGGTGGGAGCTTAAACCCCTCCCTAATAGGAGCATTCTGCCAGGCCCTGGTCACCTCCCCCCCGCCTCTTAGCTCAGCACTTTAGAAGGAAAGGGAGGGCTCATTCTAGCACCCCCTGGCTTCTAGCCTGAGCCACTGCAGGCCTGCATTTCTTGATCCAAAAGTGAATGTCTATCCACTTGCAAATGTATTAAAGCTCTTCAGGTTTAACCTGCAAAGATTGACTCAATTCAGGCTTGGGCTTTTAGAATGTCTGTCCCATGCCTTTATGTTACAATTAGCATGTTCTAACTCTAAGGAATGCTAGACTGTGTTAAAGTTAGCACATTCTGAAAGCAGTCACATATTCAGTGTCTATACTCTTTCAAACATGCACTGCTCCAACCTACTGTTAAAGGGCTGACAACCAGGGGTGCAGCTAGAAGCTGCCAAGACTGCTGGGAGGGGGCAGTCCTTCCCCATGCCATTTTGGTCACCCTCTGCACCTTCAGATTGAACTCTCTGATCCCAGGTCACCCCCACCACCTCGATCCCTCTATGTCACCTGGATCACTGTCCTGCCACACTAACAACTCCCTTCACTCCTCACCAAGAAATGATCCCCTCTGTTTCTCATCAGTTCCCAGATCACCACCTACCCTATCAGCCCCTGGACCCCTGTATTTTCACCTACACCTTCCATTCCTCAAATTGCCCCTCTGATCATGCCTTTAAGCCCCTACCTATCAGGGACACTGATCAGTTAAACCAGCCTAGGCCCAGAACTGTCATGGAAGCTGATCAGGAAAATCAGTCAGGGCCCAGTGCTCTCAGAGACTCTGAGCAGGCAGGCCAACCTAAGCCAAGTACCAAATCAGTCATACCTGCAACAGATCCCAGCTAATGAACTTTGTAGTTCAGGAGCAGCAAGCATTCTGGGACCACCATTTTCCCCAGCAGCTGGGGCCCTAGGTCTGTGGGGCATGCCTCCTGGTTTCTGAGTCTGGTTTTCAGCTTATTTCTAGATTTTGGCTTTGGATTTCCCTGCAGTTCTCTTTCCTGGATCTTGACCCTGGTTTGGCTCTGCTTTTGGACTTCACCCTGTGGATTGCCCCCTGGATTGGTACTTGGCATCTGACCCCCCATATCCTGACCTTGGACTGTGTCATGGAGTCTGCTCCTGGATCTCTTTCTGGCTTTAGTGAAAAGCAACCCTCTAACCCAGTTGCAGGTCCTACATTCCCTCAGTGGCCTGAGGGCAACCATTCTCATTTTAAGTGCTCTTAAAGTGGTCTTATTGTAATGTGTAGCCTGATACTACAAAAGGATACTTTTTTAATAAAGTCAAAATTCACTTTCTTAAGGTTTAGCAAAAGTAACTCAAACAAACAAAAAAAAATGATCAGAGCAACCCTCTCCCTAAGTTCATATGTTCCTGGGATCATTTGTACTAGACTGCTCCTCTCAGAAGAGCTTCCATATTTCCATATCATAAGAGTAAAGCTAAACAAGTCTTTACTCCTCAGGGAACCATATAGAATACTGAACTTCTCCTTATGACTACAGGCACAAATTACACATAAACCAGTATAAGTGATTGGAAACTACTTCAAATCTGTAACACAACAAAAGTTCAGTGCATGCAAACTGCTTTCAAAATGGCCAAAAAAGCCTTAAGATAAACCTGGATTGAGGTAGTATCATATTGCACTGATTTAGGTTAAATCAGCATATTGAACTCCTGTCCCAGATCCCCTCCAGGTTCAAGTTAACTCACAGTCTCTCAGCATCCCAGGATGCTTTCCACCTGTGCCACAACTCCCCAACCCCCTCCCACCCCCTGCAGGGTGGGTGGGCAGTCCTTGGCCCAAGCTGTCTGCTCTAGCCAAGCAAGAAGGCATGCTCTAGCACTTCTGAGCTTCTGGCATGGACCTTTTGATTTTTTAAACTGCATCCTACTCTGTTCTGCCCACATTCCCAACCTGTCTAAATCTTCCTGAATCCACTCCCTGCCCTCCAGTGTGCTTACTGTGCCCCATACTGTGTTTTCTGTTTCCTTTCAAAGTATATATGAGAGAGTTGTGGTGGGGAGGACTTGGGGCAAGAACACCTAGTTCATGAGAGTTCACCTCTGATTTTTTTTTTGGTGATATACCCAGAAGAGGACTGTACCTACTAGTAAAAGGAAGTGGATATGTGATCGATCTTTTGTGTGATTTTGAATGATAAATGAGAACAAACATGAAATCTTATCTCCATGGAGACAGGATTCATTTGAATTATCTGTTAGATTGATGTGATAGTTACTACCATGTTAAAATTATATTTCTGTATCATACAACTATGAATAGTAATATATAGAAAAAATATATGTCTACTTTCTTAAAAATATTTGCATGCAAAAAGTTATACATAGCATACAAATATTAAAAATATAGGGGTCATATATATGTATTTTATATATTTATATATATGTGTGAGTGTGTATTTATGTATAAACATATGCATGCATGCACACTTTCACTGAGGATTAATATTCTTTAAGTAATTTTTAACAGCTGAGACAGATGAGAAGAGTTAATGTGTCACAAAACTGTTCACACTAAACACAGAGGATAACAAGGGGATGTATTCAACAGTAGTGCAGGCTCCCTGGAGTTTTGTTACTTGGAATTGTAGAATTTTGTGGGGGGCGGGAGAAAGTTGCACGAAAATGTCAAACCTAATATTCCCTGGGTACCAACATGATTACAAGTACAGGAATTTGTAGAATAAAATAATGTAAAAGGTCAGTGAATTGTTTCAAGCATGATAATTTAATAAACATTTAATCAAAATCAGCAGAAAAACAAGAACTACAGATGTTATATGAGGAAAATATTTTTAGGACCATATACTTTGCTAGTAAAAACTGTAAATCTTCATCATAAATTTGGTTGGTCCTTAATACTTGTAACTTAACTGGTATAATGATGTCAAAGAAAAGAGCTTTTCCCCCTGTTCCTCATCAGCTAGACAGTCCTGCTCCTATATAACTAATGTTTCAGTCTGGCCTTCAAGTTATTAAAACACCTTGCTTTTCCCCACATGAACATCATTATTTCTCCTTTCCCAGAAGTTCAGGACCTTTTAAGTGGAAAGGTTCTTATTACCATAATGTAATACTAAAAATAGCAAAGAATAGCAGATTTAAGAAAAGTGAAAGTTGCAAAATTAAGAAATTTAGGCCTGGGTCCTATTCTGCTCAAAGACTTCTAAGATACTCATACAGCTTTTAGGAAAACAGAGATACCTGTTTATCATGTTCTCAACATGTCCAGAGCACACCGCTGCTCAAATGTGTCCTACTAAAAATGGAAGCAGCTACTGTAGAGACACCCAAGAGACTGTTTTCAATCACAGCACAGAGAGCAGCTTCAGGGAAACTTAGCTTTTGGCCAACAGGCCCAAACCTCTTTATGCATTTTGCATTAAATAGTAATGGGATAAAGTGGATGAAATTCTTTGGAAGTAGAAAGCAAACTATTTCCATGTGGCTTTACATGCTCAAAACTCTCCTGCAGGGGGAATGGAACATATGGTCATACCAAATAAAAAGCCTTCTCCTTATTTCCCAGAGATATGTATTGTATTGTGAAGATATTTCCATACTGGAGATATTGTTGGCAAGTTTTGTATGTTTTGTCATGGCATGGCCTAGATCCATTTGGTGTGTTTTGGGCTGTAGGAAGTTGGCTTCTGGTGATGAGGTTAGCAAGGTTCAGTGCTTGCTTGAATTGAGAAATAATTCAAAAGGAGGGATTTCAGAGTAGCAAAGAGTACCTGAGAGGGAAACACGAGGCCACCATGGACTTAGGACATACCACCAGCCTGTCTCAGCCACCCCAGGGTGGGGTGGGGGCATGTGGTAGGCCTCAGCCTTTGATCTCCAGGCTGCTGACATCTAACATTGAACAGAGGACCTCATAGTGAAGCTTCTGTACTGGCCAGATGTACCTTAAACTGGTAAATATAGAATTATTCACATTATTCTTATCTGCTATTATCTGCTACTGTGTAGCAATAAAATTCACCTATTATCAAATGAAAAGGCTGCATTTGGTCTGGGGCTTTGGGTCCACCCAAAACAAGGTATCTAGATCATAAATCCAGTGTCTACAAGAAGCAGCCACACATTTATTACACAGATCTTGTGTAACAACTTTGTGGCTTATTCCTCATTTTATCACATCATTAACTGAATGACTGTGTAGCCAGGTCACTACTTTAGATGTGATGAACTGGTTCATTGTGTCTTAAGTGCAATGTCTGTCAGGGACCTTAGAATAACATTGCATTATTTTCTGAAGTCATGGAATACTGGGGTAGTTCTAAAAGAAGAGATTAGGAAGAAACCAAATGAAGCTGAATCTTCCAAAAATACCAAACAACCAAACAAAAAGTCTTAGCAGCTATTATTCCATGTTTGAAAAAAAAAAGTGAATATTAAGGTTGTGAAAGGATTAGTGTAGATAACAGAAAGGTATGATAACTATGAATGAAAATAAGTGAAAATTTAGGATGCAAAATGTTCTGGTGATAATGATGATGATGATATTCACCTTGTCCAGTAGGAAGTTACATAAGTTCCATCATCATACTTATGAAAGTGGACTGCACTTCAAAAGGGGAAGTGCAAAGTCCTGCACTTAGGATGGACCTTGTTGTAAAGAATATTACCAGCATTCTGGGCTTCATTAATAGGAATATTGCCAGCAGATTGACGGAAAAGATTCTTCCCCTCTCTTTGGCACTGGCGAGACCACATCTGGAGTAGTGTGTCAGGTTTTGGGCCTCCCATTATAGAAAGGATGTAGACAAACTGGAGAGAGTTCAGTGGAGAGCAACAAAACTGGATGGGAGCTGGAGCACATATAAGGAGAGGCTGAGGGAACTGGGCTTATTTGGTCTGCATAAAAAAAGACTGAGGGGGTGGTGGAGTGGGATTTAATAGCAGCCTTCACATACCTAAAGGTACTATTCTCACTGGTGGCAGATGACAGAACAAGGGGCAATGGTGTCAAGTTCCAGAAAGGGAAGTTGAGGTTAGATATTAGGAAAAACTCTCATAAGAAGGGTAGGAAAACAATGGCATACGTTACCCAGAGAGGTTGTGGAATCTCCATTCTTGGAGGTTTTTAAGACCCAGCTAGACAAAGTTTTGTGTGGGATGATCTAGTTGGGGGTGGTCCTACTTTGAGTAAGGGGTTGAACTAGATGACCACCTGTGGTTCCTTCCAACCCAAATTTTCTATGATTCTATGAATATGCTACCATATATGCAATGTGAAATATTCTCCAGTAGGTTTTAGCAGGTTTGGGGCTTTGACCAGGTGTGACATCCCATTCTGGTCAGCTCTATCTGCTAGGTCCTCCAACCTCTTGGTGACTTCCCCATTCTTCCCATCTTCCACACCTTTGATGTTACATGTTACTATAATTTGGGAGGCTGTTCTTAGTTTCTCAGACATACTTCTCCATCCTTCTCATAATTTGGCAGCCTATCTGGCCTAATTCATAATCACTTTGATGGAACTCTGCCAGCAATCACCGGCTGGCCTCTCAGATTGCCTTCTCTCCCTTTAATATTTGGAGGCCTGCCTAGGGATAACCCAAAATATGGTCCTCTCAGCCTGTACCTTAATCCCAGTTTCTTCTGGGGTCTTGACCAACAATACATTTTATCTGAGCAGCTTGGTCCAGGAGCTCTCAACTACCTCTCCTTCATTCACCTCTTCCAGGCAGGCCTGTCGTAGCATTTCTTGATGTCCTCAGGAGAATCCCAACCCCCCCAATGAGGTGAAATTGCCTCATGTTTGCTCTGTCTAGGGTCTTCAAAGCTAATGTCCCTTGCAAACCATAACTACCTGGACGCTCTCAAAGTACCATTCAGTGGCCTCTCCACTCCCTTAATAGCCACCTCATGCCTTATGGTCAAACTTAAACAAAATGATCTATTTATGAATTAAAGGATAAATCTCCTCCCTCAGGGCACTCATGAAACCAAAACAAGAACCCTGCCAACCAGCCACTCAGGGTTGCCTTACTACCTGTGTTTGATTTCTGGCCATCAACCTAGCCTTTCCTTCTAGGGAATTCCTCTCCCCTGAAGGATCTGGTCCAGAATATGCCTCCAGCCCAGGGGCTGGGTTTATAAAGCCCTGGGCTTCATTTCCTTCTAGTTGCATGCACTTTCATTCCGACACTGGGCACGGGGGGCATTCATTATCACAATCAGCAGCCTGGAGCTCTGGGGCAACTCCCTCAGCTGATTCAGGCTTGCAATGGCTCTCTCCAGCTTTGCCTATCATGCTTTTAGCTCTCCAGATCTCCTGGGTATATTTCCATGTAAGTAACAAGGGTTAGGAGTGTCTATTACACAGTAGATTGACTAGGTGAATTAGTGGGTCATTTCTGCATCTAGGTTCTATGATAAAAGAAGGAACAGAATTCCCTAATAAAAGGATAGCATAAGAGTCAGATTAATATACAAAGGTGAAATCTTGGGTGCATTGTACTTAACGACATCTCCCCTTGACCCCCCAGAGGCCAGAATCTAATCAAAAGTCTCACAAGGAGAGAGTCCAAGAACCCAAAAAACAGTACTGATAGACCTCAAATACCTAATAAAATAAACAAATTAAATATTTCTGAAATGTCTAAAAGGAAATGAGTAATAAGCAATTCACAGTACCATAGGGAGAAAACAGTAGCATTTACTGTGATGGCTCTCCTGCCCTCATCTATTTACAAAATGCAAAGAACAGAAGAACCACCAGAATTTGGCTTAAAATATGTGGCAATACCAACTGATGCCCACATGATCCAAAAGGACACTTTTTCTTTCTACAGGAGTCCCTAAAAGAAAATGTTCAAGTAGAAGAAACAAAACAGGCAATGCTCTCAAGGAATCTGAGTTGCTGGAAAATTAATTTTATAATATTGTTGTGATCCTGGCTTTATCCTTTCTCTCTATAACATTTCTGATATAAAACTACAGGGCTGTTTGCCAGCACTATAGCTCCTCCAGTCATCAGAAATCAGACATATGTTGGCCTTGGTCCATCTGTAATTTTCTTGCAGTGCTCCACTTTCACTCCCAGTGTTCTGTTTGTGCATGGAACTTTTCCAGCAACTGACAAAAAACAAATGGAAATGTAGAAAATTTCCTTTCATGGACAATCTGTGTCAACCACACCACTCCAGTATGTTCTTTGCCAAAGATCAACTCTGGTGCCTGCAGTGCTCTACATAGGAAACCTGCTGATGTTTCTGTTGTTGCTGCTGCTAACTCCAGTGCCAAAGATGCCCCTTATATGATATCAGGATATGATACCAGGTTGTGATACTACAGGAAAGGTGTAATTCTTACTTCCTTTACAAAATTGTGTGCATCAAGCTTAGTCAAATAAAAAAAAATCATTATGTAGTACAAAGATTTGACACAAAAATATTTCATAAAAATATGAAAATATCCATGTAAATTAAAAAGTATATGTATAAAGTTATATAACACAAAGGAGAAGATGTTTATAAATATTAACAAACAACAAATGTGTGAAATCAGGAAATTGGCCAGTATATTTTTACTCTTGTTTCTACTACATTTAAGTCCTAATTTCATAATGGAGTTTCTCTGGCTCTGTGAAAATGGGTACCTCCTAAATGTTCTTTTTGAACAACATGTATGCTAATTCAAAATTCAGATACCATTATTGGAGTTTGATATTTTTGAAAACTGCATTTGTATTGAAGAATAAAACATCCTCTTTTAATTCACTATTGACCATATTTACAAGAATAGCAGATATTTTTGGTAGATGTATCATTGAAAGATCCTGCTATTTTATGTTTCATAGATCTTAAAATTCAGGGAAGTTTGCTTTTCATTTAATTTTTCAAGTCAGATATGATGGTTCAAAAGTAGTCTTGCATTTTTCTATATTATTTATATTCACATTTTTCTGTGACTTCCCTTTACTTGATCTTAAAAGTTACCTAGTCTGAAAAATCCAGATTAAGAAAACAAAAATCTATGAGGGAGGGCATTGGGAGGAGTGGGGGGATAGTAAGGCATACTGGTGATTGTTGTTAGAAGTAAGAATGTCAAGGAAGAAAATCCATTTTGTCAAGAGGGTGTGTACAATCTATTATTACCTGTATATTACTGGCAGAATCTAACACTTACTACATCAATGAAAACTTTCACAAAGGATATATACAAGGATTATATTTAGATTATCCTAACCTTGGTTAGGGCAATCTAAATGTCCCAACATGCAAGCATTCACTGGGATTAGGTTGCCATGAAAACGGTAGGCCTGATCTAAAATTAGAGTAGCCTGGGGTTAACACGACCTAGCAATTGTTAATCCATCCTGTACACATTCACTGTACCATCCCAGGGCTAGAAAAGCCCATTCACTTGCAGCCTCCCCCCAACCCTGACCTGGCTATTCCCCCACCCCTTTGCCCCAACTACCCTCCCTGACCACAATCACCCCTACAGACCAGCCAGTCCTCCATGGACCCACCAGCCCCTCCCATCTGACTGACTGACCTCCAGTTAGCCATGGCTCCTCCCAGCAAGTGGCAAATACCTGCATGTACAGTATCCTACCTCCGGTTTAGGCAGCTTATACTAAGTCACCTAAACCTGATCTGGATCCTGAAAACAAGTGTTTGCTCCCAAAGTGTTTACATTAACAGCTTAATGGCAAAAGTGTGTGAAAAAATAGTCAGATTTTATTGTATAAAATCAAGATTGATTCATTTTAGTCCTTAATTTAAATTTAAGAATGCTATTGGAACATTATGACATAGTATAAAATTGTGATTAGTATATTCATATTTTGTGTCTTACACAGATTTAGTCCTCTGAAGTCAGATATAGGCAATTAATAAATGGGATGATTTTCAAAAAAGACTTACAAGAAGCCAGTCCTCATTTTTTTTTTTCTCAGGACCACTAACTGCAACAGAAGCTTGTAATTGCTCAGCCGTTCAAGAAAAATAGGCTATTTAGGTACCTAAATATTGATACAGAAACCTGTATTTGCACATCCATTTTGAAAGTTTTGGCCTTTGAGTTCTCTTTATCAGTTTTGCCAGTTCTATGCCATAAAATACACAGGCAGCGCAATGGGGCCAAGTTGTTATATCTGTGAAAAAGTTATTTTTCATTTTGTGAGGTCTGAACATTTTAATTTGCTACCGTAACAACTGACATGTGCCTGGAATTTTCAGAATGTATTAGAGGGAACGCAGGTGCTCAGAGATGTAGGAAATAGGCATAGAATAAAAATGGAATCTAGAAGAACACATAATTTAGTTATGATTTTTATTGTTCTAGAACATCTCACAAGATCTTGCAAATTATTATACATAGGAAAAATTGTAATATTATTTTATAAACATTTAGCATATAAATTCTTGGTTTAAACATTTTCACTACATAATATACCTGATTAAAGCTAGAGAAAGCATTCAGCAATCATCAAACACCTGTAAGTGATGATGACAACTACATGAACACATTTGAATTTTGCTCTTTCATCATCACTGAAGAAGCAACATCCATTAATTACCAACATCTGTTTGTGATTCACTGTGTGGAACAGCTTCAATCCAGCTTCAAAAGAAGATCATATTTTACATATTATATGTAAAAATCTTGGAACCTTCTTCATACCTTTTCTTCATAGTATAATTTATCTAGTTGCATATTACAGTCCTGTTTTGCCTAAGGGAATTTTTTTTAGTCTGTTATCATATAGTGGTATAACAACATTATAGGTCAAAAAATAACTATATGTGTCATGCTTTATATATCATCAGTTAAAATGACTTATTTAATTATTTTTTGACATCAAGTTAAATATGCAATACTTCTGTTAGGAACAGTATGTTTATTTGTAGCCATTTCTGAAAGTCAGTCAAAAAAAATGACAATGGATGACAACTAGACAAAGTATAATCTAAAGTAGAGGGTTCTGATGACTGCTTGAACTAACCCTCTAACATGTCCCCAGAGGTTCCTAAAATAGCTAGCAGCTAAACACGGCTATATAGGTGAACATAAGGCATACACGGCAGATTATTGGAGTAACTAGGTTATACAATTTGTGAATAAAACAATAGTATCAAGTAATGTTCTACAGATTCACCAAGTTCCTTTTGTGAATTTATTGACATCTACTGATTGATGTTTAATTCCATATTTGCTCCACTTAAGAAAATCAAACAGCACACCCACAACTAGTATATTTTTTAACATACATGAGTCCAATTTGAAGCAATGTAATGTAATTTGTATGCAAATTGAAGTATCAGTGCAATTTTTTATAGAGAAAATAACATGATATTTTTACTAAAGTGCCTACAGATTCCTATTATACAGTTCCCTATACATTCTTATTAGCAATTAATTTGGGAATATTGCAGAGGTAGGTCTCAGCTTCTATTATGGGGAAGCCTATTACTCAGCCACTGCATCTCAGAAATAGTGTCCTATTGAAACATATAAAAATGCTCCCCAAAAGCAATATGATTGCAAAAAAGTCTGAAAACACTAATACTAACATATGTAAAACCAGTACTAATTAAAGTATATTTCTTTGTGTATATAAAAAAAAAAGGAAGGGAAACCTCCCCAAAAAACCTATAAGGAATTGATGCTGTATTTAGTTTTCTGAGAATTATGAATCATTATGTACGGAGAGTTTCCACCAAAGAAAACCATGTTTTCACTGTAACTGCAATTAAACCCTGCACAAGTATTTGAAAAGTATTGTATTGTTTACATTCAAACTGTGAATGAGAAAACCAGTCAAAGCCCACTTCTATTCTGTGACTTAGGGATCTGAAATAATCAAATTTTCATTAGAAATCACTGAAAACTCAAATTGTTTTAGTAGTTTATACAAATCTATAGCAATATGACTACCAAATTTCCTCGCAGACCCCCATGTAAAAGTGCCCCGAAAGGCTAGTTGCTGCTGAAAATCAGTATCCATAGGTGGAGATCTGTTTTTTAAAAGAGCTAAAGTGTTTCCAGGTCTACAAAATAGGAGAAGGCAATTAGCTTGATTTGTGGAAAAGCACAGCAATTAAAAAGGAGAGATGATAATTCATATTTGTGGAGTGAAGAACAATGAGCCATCAAGTCAACTGACTTGATCAATTGTCTAAATAGAAATGCCACTGCTGATGCATGGTGGAGAAGGAATCAAAGAACGGTGCTTCTATTCCAGGCAGAAAATCACTTTCCTCAATTAGGGAATGCACCTTTATTCTGGGAGGTTTATTTTTTGGGGAAAAGATGCATGTAGTATGCAAATAAATACAGCAATGTAGTCTGGTTCTCATATTTAGCGTATTTTTTAATGTTTACATTTTATTAAGGAGCCCATGTGTAAGAATAATTCTGCTTTGTTTTATAGGGTGTCTCTAAATTAAAGATCTCAAATTGTTTTATAAATATTAATGAACATTTCCTCTATAAAGATGACTGATAAGCAACTAGATCAAGGCTATGTATTAATTAGGAATAGGAATTAACTTTGGTCATTAGGAGCCCTGGAATACAATTTTACTCTTACAGGCTTGATCTGCTGAGGACAATGTGAAATAATCAGGCAGTTCCCCAACCTCAAATGATATCTTACCAGCAACAAACTAACTCTTATTCTCACCAAATCACCAGAACTTACTGCACATACAGATACCAGCTGCCCTCCCCCTCATCAACACAGACCACATCATCAGTGTACCAAACAACATGGAATATGGCATGCAAAGTTCATTCACCTACTCCACTACCAATGTCATATGTAACGGGGCAAGGAATAGCCCTGTTCCTTTGTTGCTACAGAGTTGTGAGCATGAAGAACAATTGGGTCAGAGGCGGGGGAAGGATCAATAGGCACAGTTGGGAAAGGGATTACACCAGAGGGGAATTTTGCCTGATTAACAGCTGGTGACTGTTAAATATCATGGCCAGGGGGCTATTCTTTGCCTTGTTAATAAAATGAAAAGCCTTCCTGGATTAATCTGGCATGCCATGTACATATAAGATGGTCACCTGTACACTTTCCAGGAGAAAAAGTAGTTTTATTGTTTACCACCAGATTAAACATTTAAAGCATAAAGTAAAACTGCCTGGGCTGGAAAAGCTTCTGAATTCACTAGACTGATGCATGAATGTTCTAAATTAATCTCTGGTAATGTCTCATGTGAAATATCCTAACTGTATCTGGCAGTTTCCAGTGAAGAAAGTAATTTACTTTATATATAAAACACTCTTCTATTAGTAAGAAGAGGACTCCAAGAGGTATGTTTATTATAAGATAATCATACTCCTGGGGGAAAGAGGCACTTAATGTAGCTGTACCTTGTAATGCTTCAGGAGTCTGATTGATCTATAATCAACAAGCTTTGGATAAAATACATGTGAAAGTAATAAAACACCCACAGAGATGAACTGTCTGGGGATATTACAAATTACATGCTTTTGGAGACATTTGCTTCACATGATATCCTCAACATTTCTGAGTTGAATGTCTACAATTCAAAGTTGTTTTTTATCTGCTTAGAAGTTATTGCATAAAATCCCAACTTAAAAGCACTATAATCAAGGAAGAAGTTGGGAGGCTAAGTGGAACTTTACAACATGCTGCAGCATACTGTCACTTGCTTGAATAACTGTGTTCTGCATTAGACAGTCCTTGGATTAAAATGAAATGTTAATAATTCTGAGAACAAAAACTAGCATCACTGCTGTTTTGAAAAGAACAAGCTCTACTAAGTTGGGTACCTCCCTTCTGAAGGGTAGTTGGTACTTGGCATGGTGAAAGGATAGATATGTCTAATATCTGCCTTTGAACCATGGCCACATTCCTGAGAGGAGGAGGATTCCAGGCACAACTCTGTCCTCACCATTTCTTATTAGGTAGTTTGAGGCCTGTCCCTGTTCAGAATAAACATTTGGGTTTCAAGTCTGCCTTTAAGCTTTTATGGCCAGAATATACATCAACTTGTTTCTACTGGGAGACAGTGCCAGTGTAAACAAGCCTTAAATTGCCTAATTACATTTTCTTGATTCAGCTTAGTGGGATCGGATGCCTATTTTTAGGTAATGTGATGCCTAAATGGAAGGTGCAAAACATACTTCCCTGGGGCCCATCTCAGACATCAAACAAATAAAGTCAGGTAGAAGCACTGTGGCACCTTATAGACCAACTTATTTAGAAAATCATGAGTTTTTATAGGCTAAGCTTAGTCAGATGTGATGAATAGATTTGGATTTTGCATGTAGATGTGTGAAAGTGGGCATGTCTATACAAGATGTTTACTGTGGAGTAGACTAATTAGCCCCACAGTAAATATCTTGCATCTACATGTACAGCCCTATTAGGCTGCAGGAAACTAATTAACTCCATGGCAGGGATTTTTTTTCTCCACAGAAGCACATGTGTAGACACTGGGGCATTAGGCTGCTTCAGTATGGGGGCTGCCTGATGGCTAATCCCATGCTACAGCTTCATTGTGCCCCAGTCAGTCCCTCTGAAGCTTGTTGAGCCAGGCTGGTGCAGCCCTGGGCTGGGAGGCTGACTCCCTGGGCTTCCTGCCAGCTAGGGCTGCTCTGACCCAGCTCAACATGCTGTGGTCACCGGCGCATGTTAAAATAGCATGCCTGGGAGCAATAAACACTGGCACAATACGTGACGGAGATCATTGATCCACCCTAATTGCATGTTTAGACATTCCCAGTAGGTAGTAAATAGAGATACTAAATAGAAAGGATTATTTAAATACCAAGAATAGAGGAAGGGAGGAGTAAATTGGGGTGGGGAACGGAGGCACTCCTGAGAAAGGTGTTCAGAATCCTTAGGGGAGGAAGGAAGGAGAACACCAGAATAAGGACACTGGACTTCATAAAACAAACTTCAACTAACTCAGGGACCTTGTGGGCAGGATCCCTTGGGAGGCAACTCTGGAAAAGGAATTCAGGAGATTTGTGTGTACTTTAAGTAAGCTCTCTTTAGAGTACAAGAGCAAGCTATCTGGATGAGACAAAAAATTAAGACGTGCAACAGGAGACCAGCCTGACTAGACAGCAATCTCTTCAAGGCGTTCAAATTCAAAAAGGAATCCTATAAAAAGTGCAAACTTGTTCATAGTACTAGGAAAAAAGTAGGAGTATTGTACAGGCATGAAGGGAGAAAATTAGGAATGTCAATGTACAATTTGAGGTGCAGCTGGCAAGGGACATAAAAGACAAAAGACAAAAAGGATTCTAGAGGTATGTCAGAAGTAAGAGGAACACCAGTCATTTTATAGGTCCATTACAGAATGCAGACATCATAGAAGTCAAAAATGATACAGAGACAGCTGAAGTATTTAATGCCTTTTTACTTCAGTCTTCACAATTAAGAGAGGATAACAGCTAATAAGTGTAGTTGGCAGCAGAGATAGGGAAGGAGAAAAATAGCTTGGAGAACAGGCTACTTAGAAAAGCTGAGATGTTACTTATGGTAGCTAGATTCTTTCAAGTTGGCAGTATCAGAATAAACCTTACTGTACTCAAAGAATTGGGTGAGGTGATTTTAGAACCACTACATATTTTTTTGTGAACTCATGGAGGTAAGATGAAGTCCTGGATGACTGGAAACCATAGTGCTCCATCTTTAAGAATGGGAAAAAGGAGGAGCTGGGAAACTACAGACCAGTCAGCTTGACCTCTATATCTGGAAAATCATAAAGCAGGCCCTATTGTGAATCACCAATCTCATTTCCTTCTACGACCAGGTGACCTATCACCTAGACAAGGGAGAAGAGATTGATGTCATATATCTTGACTTCAAAAAAAGCCTTCAGTCTGGTGTCCCATGATCACCTCTTGGCGAAACTGGCCAATTTTGGCCTTGGGTCCACCACGATCCGCTGGCTGGGAAACTGGCTCCATCGTCAGACCCAGAGGGTAGTAGTTGATGGAAGTCACTCATCATGGTGTCCTGTGACCAGTGGGGTCCCCCAAGCCTCTGTCCTTGGACCCATATTGTTCAACATCTTCATTAATGATGTAGATATAGGAGCTAGAAGCAGACTGGCCTAGTTCGCAGATGACACCAAACTTTGGGGCAAAGTATCCACACTAGAAGATAGGCGACTGATCCAGGCTGACCCGGACAGGCTCAGCAAATGGGCGGAAAAGAACCTGATGGTGTTTAACACCGAAAAATGCAAGATTCTCCACCTTGGGAATAAAAACCTGCAGCATCCTTATAGGCTTGGCAGTGCTATGCTGGCTAGCACTACGGAAGAAAGAGACTTGGGGGTCATCACTGACCACAAGATGAACATGAGTCTGCTAGTAAAGTGACCAAAATGTTGGCTTGCATTCATACATGCTTCTCAAGCAAATCCTGAGATGTCATTCTCCCCTTGTTCTCAGCCTGGGTGAAGCCACAGCTGGGATACTGCATCCAGTTTTGGGCTCCACAATTCGAAAAGGATGTGGAGAAGCTTGAGAGAGGCCAGAGA